AGCCATCAGAAAATTAAAGACCTTCCAGAGGAAAAACTCGCGGGGGAAGAATACGATTCCGTCGCCCAAGCGTATGCTACGGAGATTGAAGATGATTTAGATACAGATTATACTTGCAATTTTTTAGAATAAAATCCCTGCTCCCGTACAATACACGAAGGCTAGAAGGCGTGAAGTTAAACTGTAAATTGATACCGGAACTTCAAACCCCGTTTAGTGTTAAGTCAATTCACGGCCACACACAAATTACAAAAAAATGCTTAATTTCAATTTTTCATGTTAAGTCTCATTTCTTTCTCTTAAATGCTCTTAAAGGATTCGACGGGATAATCGGGCTCGATTTACTTAAACAGGTAAATGCGAAACTCGATTTCACAAAAAATATATTGCAAGCTGGCAATGCAACAGAAAAGCTTCAATTCACAAAATCAGAAAACGTTAATTTCATTAACATTGATGATGAAAGTATCCCACATGCAATAAAACCCGTTTTCGACAATATGATTAAAAAAAATGCTAAAGCCTTCGCTGACCCAGAGGAAGCTCTACCTTTTAACATAAACACTACTGCCACAATTAAAACGGATGGGGAACCGGTGTACTCCAAGTTTTACCCACACCCCACGGGCGTGACAGAATTTGTGAAGGCAGAGGTTAAACAACAATCCAACTTGGGTCGTGGACAAAAAGGGCACCGACCAAAACGGGTTGAAAAAGAAGCGGTTAGTTATTGATTTCAGAAAATTAAACCAAAAAACAGTTGACGATAGGTATCCTATTCCCGCGATTTCTACCATATTGTCAAATATGGACAAATCTAAATTTTTTACAACAATTGATCTTAAATCAGGCTTCCACCAGATAGAACTGGCGGAAAGGGATAGGGAAAAAACGGCTTTTTCAATAAATAACGGTAAATATGAATTTTGTAGATTGCCGTTGATGATGTTTTACGGGAAAAAATTTAAAAAACTTGCTACGTGTATGTTGATGATGTTATAATTTTTTCTCAGACAAAGGAGGACCATGTTAACGATATTCACTGGGTTCTCGAGAAACTCTAAGAGGCAGGTATGAGGGTGTCTCAAGAAAAATCAAAGTTTTTTAAAAAAACCGTTGAATATTTAGGATTCATAGTATCAGAAGAGGGCTTGCAAACCTCACCTGAAAAGATCTAGGCTATCAAAGAATTTCCTCTACCAAAAACCCTCTTCAATCTCCGCTCCTTTTTGGGGTTAGTGAGTTATTATAGATGCTTTATTAAAGGTTTTGCATCAATAGCAGGACCCCTTACAGGAATACTAAAACGAGAAAATGGAAAAGTAAGCAATAATCAATCGAGGAAAATTGATATCGAACTGAATAAGCAACAGAAGGAAGCATTTCATAAGTTAAGAGAAATCTTAGCATCAGAAGATGTCCTACTGTCATACCCTGACTTTACGAAACCGTTTGATTTGACAACGCACGCTTCAGGTCTCGGTCTAGGGGCGGAATTATCCCAAGGAGGACGCCCTATTACCATGATATCTCGCACGTTACGTGATAACGAAAAAAACTTCGGAACAAACGAACGCGAGCTACTTGCCATAGTCTGGTCCCTAAAAAACCTCCGTAACTACTTATACGGAGTAAAAGACTTACGCATTTATACTTATCACCAGCCGTTAAAATTCGCTGTGTCGGATAAAAACCCCAATGCGAAACTTAAACGCTGGAAAGGAATTATCGACGATCACGGAGCTAAGGTAATTTACAAACCAGGCAAGGAAAACTTTGTAGCAGACGCATTGTCTCGCCAAAATAAAAACGTCTTACAAGACACACCAGAATCGGACGCGGCTACGATACATAGCGAGGAATCGCTTTCTTACACTATTGACACGACCGACAACCCGGTCAACTGCTTCCGAAATCAAATTATAAGTGAGGAAGGAGACAGTTCGTCTGTAGACAACTTTATTTTATTCAAAAACAAAATGAGGCACATAATAAAGTTCTCGGACCGCAATATCCTGATTAATACAATTCAAGATGTAATAAACCCAGAGGCAGTAAATGCAATAAATTGCTCTCTCCCCGTCCTAGCTTTTATCCAGCATAGGATAATCGAGTTATTCCCAGGCACAACATTTAAATATTCAAAAAGCTTTGTGCAGGACATAACAGATAAAACCGAACAAAAGGAAATCATAATTACTGAGCATAATAGAGCCCACCGTGCTGCTCAGGAAAGTGTAAAACTAATTTTACGGGACTATTTTTTTCCAAAAATGATAAAGCTATCATCAGAGGTTACATTAAATTGTTCAATGGCCAAGTACAGCCGCCACCCCACCAAACAGATGGTCGGCCAAACACCAATACCCTCTTGCGCAGGGGGAATCCTTCATATCGACATATTTTCAACGGACGGAAACCTTTTTCTCACATGCATCGACAAATTTTCCAAATTCGCTATAGTACCAAAAATAGCCTCAAGGGTCATCGTTGATGTAAAAGCTCCAATATTAAACGTAGTAAATTTTTTTCCGAGCACAAAAACTATTTACTGTGACAACGAGAGGTCACTTAACTCCGAAACGATAAAATCAATTTTACATAATAATTTTAACACTTGCATCTCAAATGCGACCCTCATGCACAGCACTTTAAATGGTCAGGTAAAAAGATAGCACTCTCGCAGAAATAGCTAGGTGCCTGAAACTGGAAAATAAATAAAACGACACTACTGAAATCATTTTACTGTCAACCAACAGATATAATAAAACTATTCACACAGTAACAAACAGAAAACCAATAGAATTAATACATTCGACACCCACAGAAGTTGAGAAAGAAATCCAAGAAAAAATTCAACAGGCACAGGTGGCAGACAAGGTGTTCCTAAGGTAAGTAAACGCTTGGGAAATAAACTCTCACCTTTGTGCTCAGAAGAAACCATGGAAGCAGACCTGGGGACCACGGTTCTCATTAAAGGGAGGGTGGTCCATAAGGACAATTTACGACAATGATTATCAATTACCCTTTCATTTTTATATTTTTTAGGTTTAAGAAATACTTTTTACTACTTACACTAACAGTTGCCATGACAAACGCGACAGTCAAACTTAACAACTATACGAACGCGGACTACATCCCCATAGTAGACGGTGACATTGTAATTTGGGATAGTTACGGATACCTACGACATTCAACGAACTTGATATCGGGTACGAGGACTATGAGGACCAGACAGAAGCAATGACAAAGACCTTCACGAACGATCACAAGAAGCAAGTTATAACCACTGACTTAGGTCACATTCGCAAATTAGTTGCTACCCTTAAAGTCTACTACAGGGATAATAGGAGCATTAACTTAATCGGAACAGCACTTAAAGTCATTGCAGGAACTCCCGACTTTAATGATTGGGAGCAAATAAAGTTTAATCAGGAACAATTACTTAACGCTGAAGAAGGACAATCTGAGTTAAATATTAAATTTCAAGAACGTTTAAATGCACTTACTAGTTCTATAAATCAAATTCAGAAAGTAGACAGAGATGAAGAATCCCACCTTTTAGAAATCATTTTAGCAAAAAACAGAATTGTTATCACAGACTTAGAAAATATTTTGATGGGCCTAACCCTAGCGAAAATTAACATCGTAAGCCCGGCTATCCTGGATAGCAGCGACATAAGCGAATTCAAAGACAAACAGCCTACTAACATAAGCTTAGTAGAAATATTAGAAGTTTATAGCATAAGCGTTTTTAAAAATTCAGAAATAATCCACTTTCTCATTAAATTCCCCTACTCTAAGCTAGTTTGTAAAAAGATAACAGTTTACCCGGTTCAGCACCACAACAAGATCATAGACTTCGAGAATGGAGACCTAGTCGCCGATTGCGCAGCACGAATTGTCAGCATCGGGGGCTGCAAAGCTACAGTAGGCTCTACCTTCTGCAAGGAACTTCAAGGCGACACATGCGCACAACAGTTGGTGGCCGGGGTGGCTGCACAATGCTCCACCCTACCAGGTCACTCGAGTCCAGTTACTGTAGTGGACCACGGTACCCTCATCATCAACGACGCCCAACTGACCATCATCGACGACCTCGGTCTAAAACAAGAGATATCTGGCTCTCATACCTTGTAACCAACTCTAGCAAGGTATCACTAAACGGCTCCTGGTACATAAACCAACTTGGAACTTCAAGGAAAACGCCCGCAGTCTCAGCCATGACCCTGGTAAACATCACCGCTCATCAGAACCGTCTCAGCCTCCCGTTCCTTCACGAGCTGAGTCTAAGAAATCTCCACCACAATAGAGAAAAATTTACCGCGGGTTCCTTCCTCAGCTTCTTATTCGCCATACTTGCCTCCTTCCTATTGTGCTCTACCGTCTGGCTAGGATACCACGCTCTAAGGACCAGAGAACAAGGCAACCCAAATACCAAGGGCGACGTAGAATCAGCCGGTCACCGGGACGGCGACCACTTAAAAGAGGAAGGGAGTTAACACGCCCAGTTCCCATGAGCAGAATTTGTCGAGTTGCAGGCCATATCCGGTGGCCAACACGCGCAGCAAGGAAACTGTCAAATCCACGATTCAGGTGCCATCGCCCCATCGCCTGATACCAGGTGCTGACCCGGCGCATTAGCGGCAGCACACGGAACATGCGCTCAGCGAATGATCGCTGGATACCAAGTGCTGACCTTGCATTTTGGTGACAGCGCTGCTAGCAGGCAAAGGACTCAAGCTGTGGCCGGATCAGAACCTTAAGTTAGTCTAAGTTTGGTACTCCTCAGCCACAGCTGTGTTAAGATAACCCTTTATAAATTAATCTAACCCTTTGCCTAAACAGACTTGGGAGTAATAAATAAAAATAAACAAAAATACAAACGAACAAAAACTAATTTGTACTTCAAATTTTGGCCTGCATGAACCCTTTCGTGTTCTTTGTAATAATTATAATGATCTATATAATCAAATTTGCATTTCAACTTCTATTCCTGTAACTACAGTTTTAACATATTTGAACTGTACTTTGTTTTAGTTTTTCATACCCTCGTAGATGGTATTATAATTTCTGTCAGATGTTTGCAAGGCAGTGAAGGAGACATTTCCGACCCTATCAAGTATGTATATTCTTGATCAGCATCACTAGGAGAGTTGATCTATCTATGTTCTTCTGTCCGTCCGTACGTCTGCCCGTCCGTTTCTATGAACATAAAAGTTCATTTTGCGCGGAATAAATCGGTTCTAAGCTACAAAAATCGCTTCCTAATAAATCCACAATTTATGTGCAACAACAAATCATTTAAGAAACAGTACATAACATAATCCAAGAGCACAAAGACAAAACACTCGACACATAAAACACTCAATTGAAAATCTCTCGTCACCAACACAACACCAACTCAACGAAGAATAAAAACAAAACAAATTATGGTTTTGCCAGAGGGAAAACGCTTGAAAGAAACCTCTGGCTCTAAGCGCGGGCGCCCCTCTGACGCTGCCTATGACACTGCCTCACCAATGTTTATCGCGGCAATCAATAGCCGTTTTGATGAACAAGCCCAGCTGATCAAGTCCACCATCCGTGAGGTCGAGGAGAGAATGCTTGATCGCATGTTGCAGCTGGAGCAGGAGGTTGAGGAGCTGCGCTCCCTAAAATCCCAAATTGGCACGGTGCAAGGTAAGCTTGACGCACAGCGTGCCGAAAGCGAGGCGTGCGCAGTGCGTATGCATGGCGTTCCTTTTGTTGACGGAGAGAAACTGAGGCCGCTGTTTAACAAGCTCTGCTTCGCGACAAACCTTGTTCCGGCTCCGAGAGTCCGCGACATTTTTAGGGTCCGAAAATCGCAAAATTCACTGGTCGACCCGCCAATTCTGATAAAATTGGAAACTACGAGGGAAAAAGTTTCACTTCTTCGCGCACTGGCTGATTTCCGAGGCACAACAAAACAGCAACTGAGCATACACCTGTTGGGCTTTGACTCGCCGGCCGCTCTCTATGTTAATGAGCAGCTCATGAGAGATAATTTCCTCATATTTAAAGAAGCCATGCGTTTGAAGAAGCAGAAATCTCTTGCCGCTGTTTTTACGCACCGTGGGATTGTGCACGTGCAGTGCAGTGGGAGAGAGGACATTTACGTTATCCAGCAACTTGATGAGCTCTCAGCGATCACGGCTGCTGAGTCTGCTCTCGCCCTCTCTGGATCCAGCGCACTGGTTGCCGAAGTTACCCCTCGTGCTGCCCAAAATAGCTTTCGTAAATAACATCTCTTATGCAGTTGATCTCTTTATTTTTATAGTTTTTAAGAGTAATTTAGGTTTTCTAGTGGTAAGCTTTTTTCGTTCAAATCTAGCTTATCCCTTCTCAATTCATATGTGCGTTTCCCAATTTACCTTACCTTGTTATAATGCAGGTCAGTACAAATAATGCAACAGCGAGCAGTCTGCTGAGAATTCTGTGTAAACAAAAAGTTGGTCTGAAGATTGTCCACATAAATGCTCAAAGCTTGGTCAGAAAAATTGATGAGTTTAGGGAACTTTTTGTAGGATCAAATGTTGATATAGTGTGTGTTTCAGAAACATGGTTTGTGGTTACAGTGACGTCCCTTTTGAATGCGATGGCTACGTGTTGCATAGGTCAGACAGATTAGAACACGCAGGTGGTGTGGCGATTTTTGTAAGCAACAAATACACTTCGAAGCTTATTAAATCAAACCCGATCGAAGGTAGAGTTGAATATTTGTTTCTGGAAGTCGTAGATCCTAGTTCCAAATCAAAAATGTTAATCTGTTGTATTTATAGACCCCACCGAATGACCGAATATACTGATCTCTTAGAGTCCGTATCAGACATATCTGTGGCGTACGAGCACGTAATCCTGGCTGGAGATCTTAATAGCAATATGATCAGAGAACAAAGTGTACAAAATGACTTTAACTCTCTTGGCCTAAGCTTGGTAAACTGTCCACTACCTACGCATTTCACAAGTACCTGTAGCTCTTTGTTAGATGTTTTCCAGCTGTGTGTGCCAGCGTTCTCTAAACATGACTTGATATTTATGACATATGATTTTATTTCTGACAATTCAACACGATTTTTTAACTATAGGGACTATAAATCAATCAATCTCAACAACCTACTAACTGAATTTGACAATTATGACTGGACAAATATTTATGACTTGACTTCGCCACAGGATCAACTTCTATTATTTAATTCCAACATTCGACGGCTATTTGAACACTGTGTACGGTTAAGAACAAAAACACAAAAACCTGCCGTACAGCCATGGTTTAATTTGGAAATTAAAAAAAAAATTTGCCTGCGGGATAATGCCTACAAGCGCTGGAAAAGGTATAAAACTGAAAGCCTGCACATCATTTTTAAACAACTGAGAAATTTAGTCACAAAATCGATCTCTTCCTCCAAACGTAGATTTTATAATGATAAATTTGCCAATGCAGAGACTCCTGGTCAAGTTTGGAAGGATTTGAGAAGCCTAGGCATATGAAATCAAAATGCTATGGCTAAATCGGACCTGATGTAGACGCCCTTAATAAGAAGTTTTCAGAGGTTCCTTCCGTCATTCCTACACATAATTTGTACCTGAACTCAGCAACATTCTGTGATACTATTTTTAGCTTTATGTGTGTACGTCCATGTGAAGTCCTTGAATGTATACTTAAAGTAAAATCAAATGCAGAAGGTCTAGATAATGTTAGTCCCAAATTTATAAAAATCCCAAAACTAATTTGTTATATTATCCATATTTTTAATACAGTTTTTACCACGTCAATTTTTCCTGATTGCTGGAAAATTGCTAAAATTTTGCCCGTCCCGAAATCAAAATAAGAATTTAGACCAATTTCCATCTTGCATTTCTTTGCTAATTTTTTTTGGCAATTAGTTGCCCTGCAGATGCAAGCTTATCTAGAGAACAATTATCTTCTAAGTTGTAAGCAATCAGGTTTTAAAAAGCACTGCCATTTTAAAGATATCCGAAGACATTCGCCAAAAAATCGATGTCAGCAAAGTAACCCTCATAACACTTCTTGACTTTAGCAAAGCATATGACTCGATAAACCACGAAATACTCTGCACAAAGATTCGCACACTGTACAATTTCTCTTCAAGTGCAATAAACCTCATCCGAACATATCTCACAAACAGGGTGCAGGCCGTCGTCTCCGTGTCGCAAAAATCTCCATTTCTGCCTCTCACACAAGGCTCAGTTTTAGGTCGACTGCTTTTCTCGTTATATGTAAATGATCTCCCTAAATGTATTTCTGTTTGTGATGTGCACCTATGTATATGCAGAGTTGCAGTTATATGTTTGTCAAATTAGTGAGTGTATTAGAATTAGCATTAAATTAAACAAATAAATGATTGGGCTGATGCGAACGGGTTAAGACTCAATCCATCCAAATCAAAGTGCATTCTAATTTATAAAAAATCAATTGACTTTAGCTGTCTTCCAAAGATTGAGGTAAATAATGTTGAAATAGAATTTGTTAAACGAGCCACAAATGTGAACAAATCCACAGGAAAAGCATATGGCATGCTCAGGCAGCTTTCCTTATCCAGAAACCTGCTTGTAGCGAAAACCTGCATAATTCCAACGTTGTTTTACGGAATTGAAGTATTTGATTCCTGTGACGCCATAAGCATGAGAAAACTAAAAGTTGCCTTCAACTCAATTGCGCGATATGTTTTTAATTTAAACAGCAGGGAGCACATAACATGTTACTCAAACAAAATTTTTGAACTAAGCCTTGAGTCATGGATTAAGTTAAAAACCCTCTTATTTCTGCGTAAACTCCTGACTAAAAAAAGAGCCGCAGTACCTAATTGAACATGTGCAACTGGCTTCGTCTGCTAGAACAAACAACATTGTCTGCAAAAGATTAAAATTGGCGATGACGGAAAAACACTTTTTCATACAGGTTGTTCGCTATTGGAATAACCTCCTAAACAATATTAAAACTATACGAAATGAAACGCACTTTAAAAACGTACTTATACACTATTTAAAGGGCACAAGCTAATTCTTATTCTTATTTTAATCCTAATTTATAATTTTTAATGTCAATCTCATTTTGTTTTAAATTCAATTCATTTTTTATGTTACTCATGTCACCATAACTTGTTAAAATGTTAAAATGTTAAATTGTTAATGTAACGTAATGTAATGTAATTGTACTTCTAGTATTTAAGTTTTATTGTACGAATCTCAAAGTATTTAAGTTTAAATGTAACAATCATTAAGTTACCGATGAATCTGAAAAACAAATAAAAAATTAAATAATAATGCCAAAGCTAGTCTCTCAGCTTTAAAGCTTTCTGCATGAAACTTTCCCAAAAGTTATCTTTCTGTTGCACAGAAGTAGTACAGAAGTCTTTATAGGAACAATCGAAAAAATAAGACAACAAAAATTATAAGAATTCTGTTTTTTAATTTTTTTTTCAGTTTTTCGACATGTACTAATGGTTACAAATTTTAGAATTACGGTTTAAACTTTATTAAAATCATACGACTATAACATAAAGCTCCCATGAGTACAATAACTATATAAAAATAAATTCTTTAAAATGTAACTTATCTATTTTTGAATTTTTTTCAAAAATTCTTTTTGACTTATTCATAATTTGTCAATTTAGAATTACGCTTTTAATTTTATTAAAATCGGAAAATGTTGTCATACTGCTGCCCTACGAACTATTGAATATTAGAGCTGCAAATCATTATAGCTTTAATTTTTTTATAATTTTAATGTTTTAAAGAATAGATATTTTGTCAATAGCTGCAAGGGTATATAAACTTCGGCTTGCCAAAAATTGCTTCCTTTCTTGTTTATAAATGTCTCTACATAAACTCTATAAAAACTTTGAAGAAAACAGTTAGTTGTAAGCGTTGAACAGCAAGAGCAGTAGTGGGCAGAGAGCGTGTAAGCTTCGAAGAGTAGAAGTAGCAACAGCGATGCAGAGAACGGTCGGATGTAAGCATTGACAAACCGATTGTAACATACATCGTGTAAAAAAAAAGAATAGCAGATGGTTAACTGAGTGAGAACAGCGGAGAACGCGATGGTTCCGGCTATGTAGTTCGGTAGTATGGGTGTGGGAATTGAAAAGCAAACTGATCTCTCAAGGGCTCGAATGTACGCAATAGATTTATAATTCGCGTGCTTGTATAAGTAAGAAAAAGAGAAAGCAGAATTGAAAAGCGAAAATTAGAAAAGGAGATAGCTTCAGAATTTAAGAAAGAGAGAACAGAAGATATGGATTTCAGACTTTTTAGATGCAGACAACGAACTGGGGAGACTATGGTGGTAGTATGTAGTCCCTTGACGATCCCTTGAAGCGGTTTCTACAGTTCCAAGCATATTTTTATTCTTCATATATATATTTAGTAATTTTCAAAATAGACGAAAAAAGAAAAAAAAATTATTTGCAACTACAAAATAACAATAACGTAAGTAAAGCGTTATATATATGGGTATAAGGATAATATAGTAACTAATATATTGTAGTATAGCTCAATCATAAGAAATATAATGGTAAATAATAAGTTTGTAAGAAATTGAAGTATATAAATGAATGGGGAAGAGCAATTAAATTGTATTAATTTTATAAAAAAATTATTTAATATTGAATTTTAATTGAACTGAGCAAATCAATTTCTTGCGGTGTATACCATCATACCAAAAGGTTGTCCCAGAGTAATGGGAATGTTCCGCATAATCACGGGCACACACCGACAGAACACTGTTAACATTAAAATTCAATTTAATTCACATTCACCGAAATTAAATATATTTAAATAAATTCATCACTCAGAAAAATTATTAAGACAGCACCGCATAACATTTAATTAAGCTTTATGTTATAATTTGGAACTAATAATGTAGTGTCCGTTTTGTTGAAATTAATAAGAGACTTTAATTTAACTTTATTTCTCCACGTGAGTGCCACGTGATCTATATGAACTGATTTAAAAGAATCCGAGAGCAATAGAAATAGGGCAAAAGAAAACAGTGGTTTTCACTTACACTTGTGTTGCTCCATCGCAGAAAGATCCTTTTTCTTATTTTTGTTTCACGGTGGTTATTATCATTAATTTCATTTATATTTTGCCATTAGTCTGCTTTCGCATTACTACATTTAACTTTATTATTTTAATAAGGGTTTACTTTCCTTTTTTTTTCTCTCTGTGTAGGGGCTGTTTTTATTTGTTTCCAATTTTCCACTGTTATTTATATATATATTTTCATTTTCGCACACTGTTTTATATTACCAATTGTTTTGGTACCGATTTTTGTACCAATTTTAGTACCACTTTTGTTTTGTCTTACCACTTTTCGACCATATTGCAGGTTTTTTTCGGAAGTCTTTTTTAACACAAATTTTGCTATATAAATGAAAGGTTCTTAACCAACAGAAAAAAAAATAACAAAAGAAACAAGAAGAAAATTTGAGATACAGTTAACCCTACTAAGCTTTTTATACATTTATTTATAACAAATATAACACTACATTTTTCAAACCTATCGTTACGTAATTTTTACGCGTGGGAACGGCTCGCGCTCTATGATATTATTGTATTATTTTAACTCGATTTTTGACGTCGAGCTGGCGCGCTTAGACCCCTAGGGTTATTGTCTGGGTTACCAGTGGGTGGCTCACGTTTTGGGAGGTTTTTTCGCACTGTCACTCTTTAATACGCCGGAAGCTTCGATCCCTTGTCGTTACATTTACCGCTGACTGATTGAACTGATCGCCGAATTTGGGTATATTTCTCTGCTGAATCTGCTACCGCGTTACTGCGCTTGGGATTTATGCAAAATTCCGGGACTCTTTCAATAAGAATTTTCTCTCCGAAGGTGTGCGAAACGCTCGAGCCAACTGACTGCTTACTTCTTTGGTTGATGGCTTTGGAACGATGTGTTACTGTAAACTTGGTAGCATTCTGTTTAAGAGAAATTGTTTTTAAAAAATTTGTCGGAGAGTATGTAGTGCATCATCTCGTCAGGTATGATTATGGATTGTGCTGGCATGTCTAGTATACTAGTTGTATACTAGATACTAGTTTTGGTAGAATGGGGACTCAGTTTGCGAGCTGAGGCCGAGTGTGGCGTCGTATGCGTTGCCAGGTCTGGTCTCTCTTTTTATCCTTCTGGTTTGTAGCGTGGCGTGAGATAGACACGTGCTTGATCTTTAAGAGAGAATTATGAGCAACAAATGCATCGAAGACTCGCTGCATTTGCCAGAATTAAGTTCAGGCAATCAACAACCAAACGTTCAAGTAACCAGCAATGATGACTCACAAGGGGATGACTTGAATTCTCCGACATACTTATATAGCCGGATGGCTATAAATTTGTACATTTTCTTTGTAGATTTTCTAGCCTTTTAAATTAAAATATCATATTATGCAAATCATCATAGCTTCAATATGTTTAAACATATACGCAAGAATATTTAATTTTTGCAATAGCTTTTAGTTTTTTTGTGAATTGTTTAGTTGGTTAGGAAATGGCTAGAAAGATTAATAGCATAAAAAACACTTACCTGTCAGAGCTTAAAAGTCATCTACGTATACTTTCAGTCAGTCCGTTGCGAGGAAGAAAATCTGATTAGGTCAAACAAATTCTGAGGTTGCTTTTTTAATTTATAAGAAGAATTATGAATCTTTAATCGATCTAGGTATGAACATTAATGTTCAGTTTTTTTTTGTTTTTTGTTTTTGTTACCTGGTCGGTTCGGATGAAATTCTAAACATATAGTGCAATCGGGAACGCAAAGCAGACTAAAATTTCAATCAAGTGATTCTGTGTTTGTAAAATATCGATACGCGCATAACTTGCTACATTTGCATATTTCGGAATAACTGAGAGATTAGCGCTGGCGGACTAAAACTTGAAGTAACTAATCATTTCGTCTGCAATCAGTTAAGTTCCTAACCATACTAAAAACTACTTTACATATGCATGGGTGGACATGTAAAATATGCTAAAATTGAAATTGGATCTGCGAATATAGCTAAGCTGAAAAGAAAATACCGTGATCAGATATGGTCACCCGTTCACCGCCTACTTTCAAGACCCTCATAAACCATCGCTTCGACGAGCTCCAACTTCCTTATATGAGAATTTTCTGTTATTATCGGAAAAAAATACAATTTGACCTGTTTAAATTATAAAGGCAAACTGAATTTTAGTTTGTAAGAACTTGGCAAACATATCAACAATTTCAGAGTCAGTAGACGCCTCAATTGAGTTTGACATTTACAATGTTATAAAATTGCTTCGGATCATTTGAAATTTCGGCTTAACACCGTTTCAAAAACATAGTGTAGCATTGACTGTTAAGAACAATAAAATCCGACCGAGCAACAAAATATTTCGAAAATATTGCCGTCTTTTTGTACTTTTTGTAAGTGTTTCTTTTTGGGTTTTTAAGTCTTTAAAGCAGAAACTCATTCATTAAAAACATATTTAAAAC